CTCAAAATTAAATGCTTCAAAAACTATACGCGATAAACCGAAAATTTTGAAAATTGTGAAATGTGGAGTTACAGACTTGGAGTTACATTGCCATTAAGCGTGTTTTTGGTTTCTTCAAGGTTAGTCCTTTTATTAAAACAAGAAAATGGTGTGTAAAAAATAAACCGAATGAGTAATAAAATTATAGCAAAAAAAAACACGATTTTCTTACAATAAGAACTAATGGGGAAAAAAATTATTTATTGATTTAAAGATTCGTTAAATAAGGATATGAAGTTCCCTAATTTGATGTTATTTAACCTTTTAAACTAGCTTAAAATAGGATTAAAGTAAATGGCACGTAGTCATAATCGAAATTAGGTCCACTGAAAAGTTAGTTGCAGTTATTTTTTACAGGCATCCCATGAGAAACATACAGCACCCCACTGGTAGAGGGCTTCGGGTGCACGAATTTGTTGTAACATCAGGACTGATGATGAAGACTTGATCTAGCTGCTAGTCTATTAAAATTTCCTCCAATCACGTCGTAAGCAGATTTCCCATGTGAACTTGCAATAAAGTTCAAATCTGCCATTTCCTTGAAGGGATTTTCATCATATCAGACCTTTAGTAAAGTTAATATCATTTATTCATATTGTTTTTATTTGTAACACACCTTTCCTCTTTCAAAAATATACAATTTCATAAAATTTCAATGTCTATTTATCATATTGCTCGAGCGTTAGACGATCTAGAGTCCATACGCATTAGTAGCCCATTACGCTCATTTGGGTGCTTAAAGTTGATATTATAGACAATGTTTTTATGTAAACATAAATTTTTTTTAAATGCTATAATCAAAAGGAAAAATGTTTGTTTATTTTTTTTTTTTTTGTTTTTTATACGCTGCGCATTAATGTAAAAAATGTACAATTAAATCCCATAATAAGACGGAAGAAATATTTTTTTTTCATTAAGTTCTGTTAAAAGGTTTTCAAGATACAGCACTTTAAAGAAAGGTATGTATGACGTTTTCTTAAAATTTAAGTTCCGTGTAAATAGGTAACCCTACGTCATATCGTCAAAATATGCTGCACGTACACTTATGTCACCTAGACCTTCAATCTCTTCAACTTTCATCCAAATCCAGAGAGGTCGCGCACAGTGGTGGCCGCGTCGACATGAAATGCCTATAAACATAAACATAAACATAAACAAGTAAGAAAGTCTAAGTTCGGGTGGAGCCGAAGGGCGCAAGTATTAAATATATGTTTTTTCACCTTTCCGAAAGCTACCGCTAGGTGGTAAGCCGGGGTGTATCAATTTTGAGTAAATTTGCTTCCTTAAATTTCGAAATATTGCAGATTCAAGCATTTCTGAAATTTACCGTTATATGAAAAGCGGCCGTAATTTTAGTCCGATTTCAATAATTTTCAACGTTTTGCTTTTATGTGGCAAGCACAATAAAAATACCAAGTTTGGTACAAATTGGTAGAACGAATACCGATATACATATATGTGGGCGGAGCCACGCCCATTTTCCAAAATCTTACCATAAACGTATTTCTTGGTAAAGAATTGTTGCAAGCATCGATTTTGAATAAATTAGCTTTAATATTTACTGATTTATCGAAGATTTTCTATTTCTCTAAATTACCGTTATATGGAATGTGGGCGTGGTTATTGTCCGATTTTTTTAAATTTTCGGCCATTTAGTATTCTGTACTAAGGCCAACAACCGTGCCAAGTTTGGAAGAAATTGGTGCAGCGGTTACCAAGATATACACATGTAACCATAAGTGGGCGTGGCTACGCCCATTTCCCAAAAACTTATAATATTCTTATTTTTCGTCAGAAAATTGTTGTAAATATGAATTTTGAGTGAATAAGCGTCAGTAGTTACTAAAATATCGCAGTTTTCGTATTTCCGAAAATTACCGTTATATGAGATGTGGGCGTCGTTATTGTCCGATTTTTAAAATTTTCGGCTATTTAGTATGCTGTATCAAGGCCAACAATTGTGCCAAGTTTGGAAGAAATTGGTGCAGCGGTTACCAAGATATATACATGTAACCATAAGTGGGCGTGGCTACGGCCATTTTCCAAAAATTTATAATATTCTTATTTCTCGTCTGAAGATTATTGTAAATATCAATTTTGAGCGAATTGAGTAGTTACTAAAATATCGCAGTTTTCGTATTTCTGGAAATTACCGTTATATGGGAAGTGGGCGTGGTTACAATCCGATTTCAATACCAACCTACCTTGGATTAACAGAAACCTACATACCAAATTTCGTTGAGATATCTCAATTTTTGCTCGAGTTGTCGTGCAGACGGACAGACAGACAGACGGACGGACAGACAGACATGGCTTAATCGATTTCTCTATTCATTCTGAGCATTTATGTATACATTTGTCTATATTTATCTCGATTCGTTTTGGCTGTTACAAACAACCGTTATGTGAACAAAATTAATATACCCTTGTGCACAAGTGCGCTCGGGTATAAAAACGATAGAGACAAAGATAAAGATGGAGAATGTGATAGAGACAAATAAAAAATTATAGTTTAAAAAACTAAAACCTCGCTATTATAATTTCTATTCGTACTGTCATCAGGTATGTAACTTGAGAATAGAAATCGCCGCATCTTTTAGGCACATCAATATTACATAGTTATGTGCATCCCGAGCTAATAAAAGGGAGGTAATAAAAAGGAAATATAACTTCATAATGCGCGATGTGTTTGTTATGGTATGTGATGTTATCTAATATTATGTTGTGTTATGTAGTGCTATGTAGTATTATGCTATGCTACAATAGTATGTTTTACAATTTATTTACCATTTGGTTTTACATAGTTATATGTATACATATTTAGAATGCTGTACTTATATTAATATTTTGCCCATGTTAGGAGCTATTAGATTTAGTGTTTGTAAGCAGACTTTGTATGCATTTGGTATGAAATGTTGAATGACTAGATGAACTCTGAAATGACGTTAATTACCTTGATCATCAAGTAATTACCACAAGGGCACTTCAATAATCAGCGTCATGCACATTTTGTGTAATGCTAGGTATACATACATATGTATATGTAAATACTTTTGCTTACAAATGCACACGGCAATGTTCGTCTAATCAAATTTCAAATTTTAATTGTTAGTATATATAATAGCATTACTGCGTAATATTTGACCCAAAATAATTAATACTTAGATTATATTTTAATTACAAAACATAAATTGATTACTATTAAATTGGTCAAAATTCAATTAGCGTCAAAAGCAGTTAGATAAGCTAGAGCAGGATTTAATTATAATTAACATGTACTCACTCATGTAAATATAAATTGTTTCAGCTATTAGAAAGTCTTAATTTAGTGGCCTTGCCATAAGCAGCTTATTGTGATTTCGATTGAAACCCTTATGAGCTTTTATACACTCTAAAAAATTTTGTTTAAATTTGCGCATATTAAGATAGGTAGTTTCCTCTCTTAATGAATGCAAATTTAAACACTGCTTGCTTACTTTTACTTATCATATGTGTGGCGTTGAACAAATTTCAAATTTGTTTTTTGTGTTTTAAACATTTATTGTTCACATTTTCACAGTTTCCACATAAAATGTTTAAAATTTCCTCTAAAAAATTTTCGTTTAAATTTACGCATATAAAGAGAGGTAACCAGTTTCCTCTCCTACTGTGTGCAAAATTAAACAATGTCTGTTTACTTTTACATATCAAATTTGTCACGTAGCGCACACAAGGGGTGGGTTTTGGGGCTAAATTTATTATGATATAAGAAATTTTCAAAGAAAAAATTTTCTTTTCCATTTCTTGTGCGTCATTTTGTAAGAATTTTTCTTTTTTTCTTGAGAGCTCTTTAAAGTTTAACTGCGAATGAAAACATTGTCCTAAAAATATGCAATGCATACTCACTTACTGTTGCTTTTTACACTTTACAGCCTAAAAAAGTTTACCACTGATATGTACTTAATAAGCATTCGAAGATTTAATTTGCTAACTTCGAATTCGTTTCACCAAAATGAGCTACATGATAAAAATACAAGTTCAGTTAAATTTTC